TAAGCTGTCACCTGTCTGTATATTTGAATCCTTTTCTCTTCCTTTTCATTGCGTAAGATCAGGTATTTTGAAAAAAAGGGCTATCTATACAGATAAACTAAACTGTAAATGATTGTGAGTTCATAAATTCCCACCGCATGACGGGAGCCATTTTTAGCAGGCAGTGCTCTGTAAATATCAGGTTGCGCAGCGGGCAGCGTAGTTGTTGCCAAATAATTTAATAAATAAAGGTATTGTTTCGACTAACAAAATGTCTGTTTATTTTTTTTCTATAAAGGGACATTGTTGGAAAGGCCGGGCAAAAAATGACCTAAGAGGGCATTCATTTGGTTAGTGGCAGATAAAAATAACCGTAGAGGCTGGCTGAGGTGACAGCCCCTGAAACCTGGATGATCTACGGTGTTGAAGGACCCTGTCTAATAGCCACTGAGTCTCGGCATGAATTTGCCACTGACTCTCCAGGGAACATTAGCAAGTTCGTTCATCATCTGGGATAATTAATGTTTGTTTTCAGCAGAATGGAATGCCTCTACTACAGTCTGTCAGGCTGTACCGTGGACCTTGCCCCCATCTTTAACTCAAGCTTTTACAGCTAAAGATGAAAGTTCAGAGACTCATCAAATGTCAGTCAGCCCTGTTCAGTTCAGGTTCTGATCAATGACCCTGTTTATCCCAAGCAGCTTGTTGGTTGAGTCATTGTCGGCGAGAGAAAACTGACCTCTTGCTGACTTTTCGGCTACATGAGTAAATATTCTGGCTGAGACGTGTTTAAGCTATTTCTGCTCGTGTTAGCAGTATTTTCCCAGCTGATGATGGAAGCCTTCCATTCGTCATATTTAGGACTGAGACTATTAAACTACTCATTGTCATTCCGTGGGAAGTTCTATAATGTGGCAACAGTTTCATCCTATATAAATCATTCAATTCTACTACTGTATCTGTATTATTGTGCACACATTCTAACTGAATGAAAATAGAACATATATGATCCATAATGACAACATGAAATGGGATGAATGACATGTTATGCCTTTTAGAGAAACTAGGTTTATAATTGCATTGATCTATGTTAACTAAGGTTTATGTCAAGTATCATATGAGCATGTATCTGCATAAGTTAAAGTCACATGAAATACATGCGTGTCCCTAACAAAAATGTATCACATATGATAATTGCCAGCAATACTGTGAAATTACGCTATTAAAAAAAACATTTTTTTTGCTCTAGAGAGAAATATGGTCATCAAAGAGACAATCTAAGCCTTTACTGCTTCATGTCTGAACAACAATGACTTAAAGTTCATAAGAAATATCAGTAAAGCTCATGCTAACATGCTGCCCTGAAGGCAAATTGCAAGCCAAGCAAATATCTTCAGTCCTGGCGCAACATGCCTTCTTCCACAACAGCAACTGTAGCCAGGAACATGACACTAATGAAAGTGTACCCAATCACATCTGGGATGATTTAGTGCACAATTTACAGATGCTCATGTCCAGGGGAAGGCAGCATCTTCTACAACCCATGCCCACATGTCTAGTCTCAGCTTTCACACAGTAATTGTGATGTAGTTCTTTGAACCAGCTCTAAATTCACCTCATTTATCTACTTTCAACAAACCCATTTCTGTACACCCGCTTTAAATCATTTTTAAGGAACAAAAAATACAAATGATACAAGTATGATTTTTTTTTCACCTTTATAATACAATTATATGAAGCCTTGCCCATTCAAAAAGAAGCCATACAAACCATGAAATAAAGTCTAAACAATCATTCATATATTTCTGAGCTTTTGGTGATTGCTTTTCTAGGCTTTTGAATGTTTGACCATGTCAGATATAAGTCAGTGCCTTATCACTATTTGCACATTTCTAAAATGAATAAAGTTTAAAAGTAATACATAAAAAAATATAGATATTGAAAATGCTAAACTATTTAAACTATATTTTTATTTTAAACTACATTTTCATCATGAGTAAGTAACATTTTTTCACAGTTTTGAATGTGGAAAAGCATATTTTGTAATATTTTATAAAATGAATAAATTGTTTTCTTTTAATTAATATATCAAAACTACACAATATAAAATGGCAAATGCATAACCTCTGCATTGTGTGCTTCTCTCTGTTTACTGTTTTTGGCATTTGTTGTAATCTAAATGATGGGGACATAGTCTGAATTTCGAAGGTGTATGTTGTTGTAATTTAATTTGTGCTTTTATTCAGTTGAGGGGAAATCTCAACAGGACCCTGTAGTCATATAAGTGAAGATAAAATGGAGAAATGTTTTCAGGTCAATGCTATGTATACGGCTGGTCTTTTAGCGGTTAAACTCTGAGTCCTGATGATTATACCAGAAAAGCAAATATCGTAATGATGTGCAAAATGATTGAGCTTCCAAATGAAAAAGAGCTGCTTAGTAGAGAGATGGCTGACCTCATGATTAAAAGATTCCATCCCTTCCCAAAAGTCCCACGCTGCTGCAAGATGTGATATTAATGGAAAGAAATAGCTGCTGACTTGCTCCATCAGGACAGGTATTTACAGGGAACTACGCCACAAAGAAACTGTAACAGCTGAATTTGTATTTGTTAGATGTGCCAAAATATGTATTATTTGACATTTTGACAAGGGTTTAGTACAGCCATTAAACTTGGGTTTAGCGGCAAAAGAGAAAAATGGCAAATTTAGCTAATTCAAAGTGAAATGCTGCTTTCTAACCTCTGGCCTGGTGTGGAGAGCTGTCTGATATGGCCTTGCCACTATTATGTGGTCTCTTATCACTGTGCCATGTCATCCGTAAACTCCAGACAATTATCCCCCTTCTTTTTCATCTTTCTTTCTTTTTTCTGTACAATTCATGTTTTATTATGTTGAAAACAGACCAGACTAATAAGTACTAATTTATGTCAAATCTTGCCGGGGTTCCTCTGCGGCCGCAGCCTTATCAGGTCACCCTCTAGCTTCTGCTAAGCATTCAATTAAAGTCCCTCATCCCATCAGAGCAGATCACATCAGGGATGGACCTACAGGCGGTTACTGGCAGCAGCTGATTGCCTCCTGTCTCCCTGAATGTCTGCTTGTCTTTCTCCGACCCTTTCCTGGACATTGGGGTGGTGTTTTCACTGGAACACCTGGTAATAGCGAGAACGGTGTATGATCGCTATCTGTATTATGAGGAGAGGATCTCTCTGCCACTTTCCCAGCCCAGCTCTGCTCCTCGCAAGCTGCCGACAGATATTTAAGCCGCCCACTTTTGTTGAGGAGGTTCAAGATTCCACAGGTGTTTGCTCATGTGCCGGGAGCTCCGACACAGATCAGAAGCACTTGCTGCCAACGGAGGGTATAAAACCTTGAACAGTAGGTAGTTGCCAACGAGGACAGCGTGAGAGCAGCAGATCGTTGTAAAGCGCAAACAGGCCCAGGCTGAGTTTTTTCCCCCTTCAGGAAAAACAAGTGAACGCACAGAAACAGCAGAGATGAGTCGTAGCCCGGAGAGGATCTCGTCCTATCGCCGTCACTTTGAGGACAGCAGCACCTCGGCCTACCAGGTCCGGGTGTCCAGCCCCTCACCCACGAGGAGACAGACCCGTCCGGCCTCCGTCGGCTACTCTGGCAGAGCCAGCAGCATGTGCGTGGACACCGTGGGACGGAGGACTGTCTCCGCGGTGCGCCGGTCCCGTGTGGCCGGAATGGGGTAAGACCTTGCGAATACCGTCGTTGGACATCTTCCTTATCTGACAGAAAGTTCTCCCACTTCGGGAAAATCTCTTCACTCATTGCCCGTCTCGCCTTGGTTAGCGTTTGTGGCCCGGGAGTTCCAGACTGATGAATTGGTGTATGTTCCCAGGATGAGTTCAGGAGCCATGGTGTGTGTTGGGCCTACCGGAGAGCCAGCCATGGACCTGGACGTAGCGGCAGCTGAGAACCAGGAGTTCCTCAGCACTCGCACGAGCGAAAGGCAGGAGATGATCGTCCTCAACGACAGACTGGCGGTTTACATTGATAAGGTAAGGCACGGCTGGCACTGCAAAATAAGTTTCCCGAAGGGGAAAGAAAATACACATTACTTGGATGCTATGGGTCAAATTCTCCTCTTTAGGAGTTCCGGCAAGGGAAGAAAGAGGTGGTGTCTTGTTCGGGCTAAATTTCTGTGTTCTGGCAGGTTCGATCGCTTGAGCAGCAGAATAAATTGCTGGAAGCTGAGATTCAAGCATACCAGAGCCGCTTTGAGAAGCCTACCGGCCTGCGTCTGCTTTACGAGGAGCAGCTGAAGGAGCTGAAGAAGATTGCGGACCAGATGAGAGTTCAGCGAGTAAGGCCAAATTCTCCCAGTTGCATCTGTTTCCCCCCTCCTTTTTTCCATCTTTCTTTCTTTTTCCATTTCAGACACCCAGTAAGGCATGATGCTTTCCACCTCACTGATTCATAGAAACTCCATCTTAGCAATGATACAAGGCATCAGCTTGGTGTTTTCAGTTTTTTTTGTTTTTTCTTAAACCTGGTAACAGGCTCATTTCCGGCAGGCAAATGGCGAGGTGCCTCAGTGGGTTTAGGTGTTGTGGAGTACAGCTGTCATGGGCTATGTTTTATGCACAGATGAGATGACTTGATTATGCCTTTCCAGACACGCACACACACACTTGCTCACACACAAAGGAATGAGACTCAAATGCAAAAAAGGAGCTGATCTACATTTTCCACACATCTTTGCGCTCACCTTCAAATCTAGGAGACAGGGACATTACTTCTGGTTTCCTGCTTTTCAGGACATCTCCTTGGCTGCTAAGGAGTCCACAGCTGCTCAACTGGAGGCAATCAAAATAAAATATGAGGAGGCATTGGAGCTGAGAAAGAAAGCTGAATTCGACATTGAAGCCTTCCGTCCGGTGAGTGCAATTTTATTATCTATTATCTTTAGCGTAGCT